CAGGTATGCGTAAATTTAATATTTGGGTGCGCCGAATTCAAATTCCTGATAAATCAAGAATGCAGTATCTGCAAAAGGAGGGTCGCAGAGGCAGGCACGTAGCCAGGGGGATGGCCCATGGGGCCCGGGCCCCCCCCCCCCCCTCCCCCGAAATCTTCCATTTTGCTGGGACCTCCTCTCCCCCCTCTCCCTCATACAGCATTTTGTCATGGGCGGGCGCCCCCCCCCCCCCCCCCCCCCCCCTCCCGAAACAAAATCCTGGCTACGTGCCTGCGCAGAGGTATGTCCGAAAGACATGTTTTTTCTAGTGTATTGATAAAAATGTTAGCGTAGTTGGGAACCATTCTATTGCTCTCTGCCCAATCAGTAAATTGAGTATCTGCGGCAAAGAAAAGATCCGATAGTAGAGGCAGAAACCAAACCACCTGCTAGCCTGGACCGCTCCTAGTAGTTATATTGTTTGCATTGAGGCCTAGACAGCGAGAAGTCCGTTTACCGTAAGATGATGTAGGGCGCCTCCGCTGTTGACTTGAAAATTAGTCGTTGCTGTACGACAGTATTAAAGACTACAGCTCGCGCTTTCATTTCCGGTAAAATCATAAACCAATATATTGCCAGTTCAGCTCTTAGTTTACGAGTGAAATTTGTTTCCATCCTTAATTCACTTGAAAGCTGAACCAGCTTTCAGGCGCTTAAAATTCAAAGTTATCTCAAATTAATATTGGCCTGCAAAATGTTATCACTCATAGAAATCTTAAATAAAACAGCGCGAAAGAAAACGAAGGACGAGGTAATGGGAAAGACCAGCGAGTGCCACTGAAGCTCTTGTGCAGTATAATGCTCAACATAATGTTCGCCCTGTTAGCTTTGTGTTCTGTAAAATGTGTTGCACGCCGTCGACGTAAATCAGAAGAAAACAATAAATAATAATATTAGTTATCTGGCACGGATACCAGGCTGCATCGTTTCCATTAATAAATACCAGTGTAAAAAGATTCATTTCATATTGAAACATGTAATAAATGGAGGCGGGTAGGGGGGGAGATATTTTACAAGCCCCCCCCCCCCCCCCGTCAAAAAGAAATCCTGGCCAACCGCTGGGTGGGAGTCTCTTAATATTTTCTACCTTAGCCAAATGCTGTATACTTTTAATTATCTCAAAGTAAGATAATTATGATGCACCCTGCATCCGTTGTGTTGTACGCAAATCATTCTTATGTATCTTAATATTTTTTTACAAAGATTATTGGAAGTTTCGCATTCTGATTTTTTTGTGCCGGTCCGACACAGACGTTTCTTTTAAGTTTAGGTGCTACAATTTCAGAGAATGACCATCCCATATGTTATGTAAGAAGAAAGAATAAAACATTAAGACTGGAACAACACAACCACATGTTTGTTCCAGTTTTAATTGTTTTATTCTTTCTTCATCTACGACTTGAACCAACACGCTCTTCTCCCAACCATATGTTATGTGAGTGATCTAGGCAACAACAGTGAAGATATAATGGTAAAACAAAACCCTTATCCTTACTAGTGATATTCCTAATACGTCATTATTAATTCCCAAGGAGACACTTGTGTGTCTATATTTTGATAACTATAAGAGCCTTATCGTGAAGACGTAGGGGAGTATCAAAAATATTCAATGCTCTAATGAAGTTCCGAAAACGTACGCTGTGGGACATTCCACGGATGTTTTTATGGCGTTTCTTTTCGGACGTTTTGAGAACCTATTTCAGACATCCATGGGACATTTAAGCGTCCCAACCTTAACACCCATAGTATCTCCAATGGATATCTGTGTTGTCCGGGAGCATCGGAAACAATAGCCACACCTCCCTTGACTAATTGTCAACATAATCCTAATAAGCAGCCTAAAAAGCGGATGTTTCATCCAAAGCACTTAGCTATTCTCTACGTTTTGCACTAATGAACGCCTCATTAAATGTGTTTTCACAACTTGTTCGTGAATGCCGTTCATTTTGTTCTTGTACACTTCCAACGTCAGTTGTAAGAAAGTCAAAGAAAGGAGAACACGCTTAAAAGTCCTACTGTTGATAAACTGAAAGTAAAAGAGGGAGAAAAAGTTCGTATACATTATAACTAGGGGATGAACGCCAATCGAACACGCAAAAAAAATATATGAAGAAATTCAGCTTATGAGTCGATCAACACCACGGAGCTCTTTAAAAGGAGCTCTACATTCCATCCGCTGCGTCAGTCGAAGCCGACGTACACTCGCAACACGCTTAATTCGCTACCACTACTACTCGCCCTCCAGAGGGCGACCCCCAGCAATGGCTTTGTTTGACCCCGCAAAGCATGAGGCACGGGTGACACGTCCCCCGCTCACGCACACAGCATGGCCAAACGCGCCAGCGCACACACGCATTCCCGACGACTACACGTCCATAGACAGAAAAGCGGCAACCCCGACCCGAAAAGGGCGCCAAACAAAAAGGGAAATGGAGCACCGCAGCCGTCCTGTTGAGTTTAGCAGCTGGGGTGTCGGAGGCGTTGTTCCCGTTAATCGGGGCAGACACCGCGCGCAGCCCCACTTGTCCCTCCCGCGGGGGTGCAAGGACCCCGCGGGACTCTGGACCCCGTGTCCCTCTTGCCCTCCGCGACAGAGACGAGCGCAAGGCAAACACGCCGGCATGTTATTCGGCGGGTGGGGGAGTCGGCGGCTCCATTTGCCTCCCCGCAGATCGCTTGCGTGTGTCGGTCCGCCGAGCGGTGGCAGAGAGTTTGCACCGGGGGACTGTGGTCGTGAATGCTTCCTGCATGGAGTCCGCTGCTCATCAGTCTCCCGTCCCGATGCCGGTGGTGCGGCGGCTGGGCTTTAGGCATCGCCGCGTTGCAGCTGGAAGCTGTTCCTTGCCTTCGGAAAACAAGTTGGGCGCAGTTTTATGCTCCTGCCTCGTTCCTTCCCAAGTGGTGTAAGTTACGCTTTGGCTGCGCCGCTTGCATTCTTTATGGGACCCCAGGAGGAGCAGGTTGCCGAATTGTCGTCGGTCCTCCGAAAGAACCCGAGTGCGGTGTGAGTTGCGCACATATACAGTTGCTCAGTTTCTACGGTTTCTGGTCTGGTGTGAGGGGACGGGGGTCGAAAGGAACTTGCTCGTTGGAAATAAATCGCAGCTGTGTATTTTGGGAGGGGACTTTCCTTTAGCCTTAGCATTGGCATTTACTAGCGCTAGCAGCCCTTGGCAACAGGTGAATCGCGGTTCTACTCTTGTTACTGTTAGTGTTCGCACTCTTCGGATCGAGATATCCGCTACAGAGAGTGTTCGAAGTCGCACAGAAACAAACCCCCACGTGTAGGCACCGTTCCCCTCGTTGTTATCAGGTTTCTTAGGTGTGCATAGTAGTCACTGCAAAAAAGTACAATAAAAAAAAAAAAAAAAAAAAAAAAAAACCTTAAAGTGAACGACGGGAAGACGTGCAGTACAGTGTAAGCATTAAGGTTCTGAGTGAATGCATTGCTTTATTTGTTCCTTGTTTAGTTAACTATGACGACTGTTTCAGTGACGTTCATATGATAAGGAGTTTAATGGAAGCTCGGTCGCCTTCATTTTTATTATAAGCTACCAACGTTCGTGAGTATGTTGTTTCTGCAATTGAATAGTTAAACATGTCATGGGCTACATCGCCTCACACACACACGCACACAGATATATACATATATACATATGTGTGTGTGTGTGTGTGTGCAACGTACGCCATTCATTCTACTGAGTGGCAAAACAATCGTTTTTAGTAAAGAACTTGCGAATGATCGAAAGATCGGTGACAGTGGAGGAATGAATGAGCAGTCCTCGCCTGTTTGGTTTCTTACGGCCTTATCGCTCATCAACCGGGTTCCGACATGTCGTCGAACATCATTTATTTAAATCTGTTTATTTTACTTCTTATTTGGTTGTGCAAAAAAAATATATATAAACGCGACTTTTTATAAATCACAAAATAAACAAGAACTAGGCTTGAAGTGAAGTTACATGCGGGTGCATAGCGCGAGACTTAGATAGAAGAGGCGATCAACATTTTTCTTTTTGTTAGCCCTTTACTGCACAACTTTTTTTTTTCACAATTTTATTCCAGCAGAAGTAGAATACCACAGTTATCACAATACTATCACTAAAATAAATTTCAAAGTTTCGAAAAAATTTATATCGAAAAAAGATAGGTATGTTGCATATTTGCAACAAGATGGAAATAACGAAATATTTATAGCCGAATGCTAAAAATTTGTGAACCAGAGCTAAACTTGTATTTACAGACATCAGTGAGAGATGTGGCCTCATTTGCTTGTGTGATACAAAAGAAAGCAGTTATTCTTGCTTGTTGAGCACAGGTGAGTGCCACACTTAGAGCAGTAGCTCACACAAATGCCCTTGCATCCAGGAAACTTGCAACGCTGTCGCTTCTGACTCCAAAGCACCCAGTGGCCAACCTGAGCATAGAAGTATGAACAGTGAGGTTTGTAACACAGATTAATTCGCCAGTGATAATACCTGATCAATCCTGACATCTTGAGGTGGACACGGTGCTGAAGGACCTCTTGTCTTCTTCAGCTGGATGCCTTGCTCCACGGACTCATTGCTGGGCCTTCCCCTTTTCTTCAGTTGATTTTTTCCTGCTTTGCAGAGTGACGTGGCGAGGTCCACCTTGAACTCTGCTAATGGCATGAGCTTTCGTGTTGGTTGATCGGAAGTAGTCTCGGCATTCCTCCTGTACAGCAGCCAGGCATTTACAGCCGTCAAGTCGAGAATATGAAGAAAAATACGAAAGTACCATTTCTTCGATCGGAGATGGGCGCGGTAGAGGGAGATCAGAGAGTCTAAGAGATCCACTCCTCCCATGTGCTTGTTATAAGCGCCTATCACCGACGGACACGGTATGTCGCGCCTCTCCTTTTCTTTTTGGCTCCACCTTGGCGCAGTTAGGACAGGCTCTGCCCCAACAAAGGTGGACAGCAAGGTGACGGCTCTGTTGTCTTACCACCTTGTACACGACAGCTGAATGCCATCCAGGGTCGCTACCTTCTCTTCAAAGCTTCCCCTTCCTTTCTGTTTCATTTCCTTGTCAGATGGCATGCTGATACCCGTTACTCGGTTGATCCGGACTGTACCAATGCAGTGCACGGTTTCTTTTTCCAGGTACACCTGAAGGGTTGGACAGTTGAAGTAGTTATCGAAATACACTTTGTGGTGGACTCCTCTTGGGATTAACCTGCACAATCGAACAACAATGTTCCCGCTTGCTCCACAGTCAGGCTCTCCTGCACGTCTTGGGGCAGAGTTTTCTTGTCCCGTGTACAGTTCTAGCTTGTACGAGAAGCCACTTACTCCTGAGAAAACAAATACTTTGTACCCCCATTTTTTTGGTTTCTGGGGACAGTACTGTTTCAGTGCACTTGCGCCTTTGAAAGGTATAATCTGTTCATCCACAGACAAGTGCTCTTCAAGCGGTATCAGCGACAACTGTTCATTTACAGCATCGACGAGCGGTCGTATCTTTGCAAGCCGGTCTCTATCAGGATCATCTCTTGGGCCGAGAGAGCTGTTGTCCACAAAGTGAAGGTTGTGCTTCAACTGTTCGAAGCGTGTCACCGTGAGGTGGTCAGCTACTTGGCTTACTCTGGTAGCTTCACTCCAGTACCACCTAGTGTTCTTCAGCTGAATTATAGACATCCACATGCAGGTGCCTAGAAAAACTTCAATCTCCTCGGCACTGGTGCAGAGGGGCTTACTGGCATCCTTCTGGACTGAGTACAAATTGCTCTCATTTGCAATAAGCGAAATAAGAGCGCCTGGAAAGATGAACTTGAAGTATTGGAAAGGTGTTTCCAACTCTGAAACTTCCTGCGGAAGCTCATTTTGTCCAGTGAACTTCACTGTTTCAGGATCCCGCATCAGGCTTGCATTCTTCCAGATAATTCTTCTCTTAGATTGAGTTGATGACTGATCAGCTGGTTGGCTTGCGGGAGCTTCCTCTTCGTCAGAGCTTGTACTCGCCTCGCTTGAACTGGCACTACATTTTGCAGGGGGTTGGACATCTGGGGTACAAAAAATAACAGCGTCTCGTACAACTCATACAATGAGCAGTAAAATAAATAATTTGGAGAGAAATTCTACATTGTATAGGGGACTATCTTCCCTGGCGGTTCTAAGTGTGCTCTTTGAAAGCGTGAAAACAACCCTACAACTTTGCAATTGTGTGTAGTTACACCTGACGAAGGATGGTCTCTTCCAAAAATCTCTGTCAATAAAGCCTACACTGCTTCTAATTTTATTCTCTACGTGAAAAAAAAGTTGGATTTCCAGAAAAAAACATTAACTTACAATCAGAGTCATCGTCACTGCCGGAGAGCTCGCTGTCCTCACTGTCGGAAGGAATTCCACGGCTGTAAAACCGTTTGGGGTCCATTGTGTCTGCTCTACGAAGAAAAAACACCGTCGTGCACGTTGTTGCATCTGTGCAACATAGCTATTTTTTGCTTCCAAAGACAAACTTCGTCGATAATCTTAAGGTTTTTAGTATTTACATAATCAGCAGGACATTAAGTTGAGTCGCAAATTTTTTGTTTTGCATTACACTGTATAGAACGTGATATGCAGTAGTCAAGGCTTACCTGTGTCACTTGTTGAGCGTCCACGTGGTGGCTGTCACGCTTTTTAGAGAGCAGTTTTGCCGCCTGAGTACAGATGGCAGCACTGGACGGCTCGCCTCGCGGATGTATGTTGCAGAAATGCAACAACGTGCGGAACTAGCACTGAATGCATTTTGTAGATGTTTTTATCGTCGTTTATCGCTATGTTGCGAATATGCAACAAGGTGCAGTAAAGGGTTAAAATTGAAAGAGTGTGATTGAAAGGAGTACGAGTGTGGAGGAAATTGCTTATTTGTTGCAGTATCAATAACCACTTATAAGTTCGCGCTTACAGTGTCACCTACTGTATGCCTTAGCGTCTGCTGCAGTGGTAATGGTAAAACAAAAATTTAAAAAAAAATTGCCATAAACGCATTATTATGTGTATTTACCTCGAAACATTTATGCAGAGAAAGCTAGCGCGTGCAGCGAGTGTACGTAGGCTCCTAACATTATTTTTGGTAGTTGGATAATTTGATGCAATATCCATCTCTCTTTGGCCTCTCTAAAATGTAGCCGCGATTACGTCACCGAAGCAGTATCATTGAACACCGCCTTATCGAACACTGGCAGGTTTCGATTGGCAGTGGCCGTACCCTTGTTATAACTAAATTAAATGGATTGTGGAAAAGTAGCGCCGAGCTCCTTGTAGGCTCGTCATTTTGGCTCGTGAAATGAGCAATTTCTTTTTGAGTTCTCCGTTATTGTAAGCCGGTCTAAATTAGCTGGTGACGGGTAGCTTTATGGAGACGTTTCTTTTATTGCGAGATTTCGAAATTTACACTCCGGCGAAACAACCGAACATCTTCGTACCACTACCACATGCGGTGTCGGCGCTTAGAGGCATTGAATAAAATCATTTTCTGTTTAAAAATTCGCAACAACAATATAATTGTAAGAGATCCGTTGAGATCGGCATGATTGATAAGTTGATTGCATACACAGTACCAAAGGCGCTTATATTGGCGAAGAACGCCTTCAGTACGATAATGCTAAATGGCGATCTTGGTGCGACTGAATTGAACGACCCTCTCGAAGCTTTGAAAATTTGGAGGGGCCAAAATATCGATTGCCATAGCAACAGAGACCGATTAGCCAATCGCCTTCCGAGCTTTGGTTCGTCGGTATTTTAATACTTTTGTGTTTTGCTGGCCGGCAGGAAAGGCAATGGCACCACTTTCTCACGATCCGCTGACTTTAAATATAACGCCTTAAAAAGGCCGTGCAAGGATGTTGCGTTCGAATGTTTCCCACTTCGCACAAGCTTACAGCCACTATTCTCCCAAAACCACTGGATGCTGGGAAAGTAGCGCCTTTCCATTCCCTGCTTGATAGCCGGACACATATATACACGAACATACATAAGACCAAAACTTCTCAAGGTGATTGGCTGATCGGTTTCCGTTGCCATGGCACTCGCCATTTTGGCTCTTTCATAGCGTCGAAGCTTCGAGAGGGTCATTCTAAACAAGTCGAACCAAGATCGCAATGCAGCATCAGCGTACTCCAGGCGTTTCTTGCCAATATGCAATCAACTTACGAATCCTGCCCATATCCACGGATCGATTAGAATGATATTGTTTTTGTGGCGTATTTCGAGAAAAAAAACATTATTTTTCAGTGTCTCCATGCACCGACACCGCGTGGGGTGGCGATACGAGGATACACGCTTCCTTCGCCGGTGTCTGGAAAGCGAAATTTCGGTATACAAGGAACCTCTTTATAAAGCTACCTCTCACCCCCGAATTTAAATTGGCTCACCAAGAATGAGAAGTCAAAGAGAAACTGCTCATTTCTAGAGCCAAAATGACGACCCTACGGGAGCTTGGCTCTACTTGCTCAAGCTCCAATGACTTGATGTACTCCTGAAAAGTTTCTCTGGCTAGGCCTTCGAAGCTGTGGGCGCGCTGGGCTGACGCATCTTGAGCACTTATCAAGCACGTGCACACGGACTCGTCACCTCTTTTGAAAGTACACAGAAAGCTTTCCACGAGTAAGGAAGTATGGAGTGGTGTTAATTGAACAGTAGGAAGTAATAAAAAAGCAAGGAGCCAGAGAGGAAATTGGAGATATTTATTTATCTAGGAAGCTCCGATTACCGGCAGCGGAGCGAACGAAACATGTTTTTGGGTCGCGTTCAGGCTACGCCTCATTTCACCAGAAGGAGAAACGGCGATTACCGAGCCGCGTGGCTTCTGTAGATTTACGAATATAAAGAAGCTGATTTAAAGATAATATATTTTGTCGTGGGATTTAAATCTATGTAATGCATCCCATGTTTAGTTCTGCGTTGCTGGAACAAACGTGCTATTGAACAATTAGAAGTGTGATTACTTATTCCCAATAGGATAAAGGGCAACTCCGTTTCATTTTTGATATTTAGAAAACTATGCAGCCCTCTTCAGTATCATATAAGAAGACCCCATCTAAAATATTACGATCTAATTCCGCTTATATATTTAATAAACTGGCCAGAAAACTTTCAAATGAGCCAAGTCGCCGAAATCTGCCAACTCTAGCGTGCGGCGCGAGGCGCAATCGTCAGCGCAGCCAATGCGACGGAGTTGGAGCGGCCAACGTTGAGCCACTACGTCAGAGGCATGACTACGTCATTCTCGCGTTTTTTTTTTTTTACTTCTCAGAACGAAATTGAACGATGACGTCATGAGTTTCTCCTACCGGTGTGGGCTCAACGCGTCCACGTGATCACCGTAACGCGGATGCACTAGTTGGCGCTGTATGAATGCTGTGATAAGTATGCTCCAGTGCACATTCATTTGGTTTCACAGCGCAACTTATATTGGTCACGCACGTTTTCTATTTAGCTTGTAACAACAAATTAGTGTCACGTGCATAAGCAACCAGAACGTATCATTGTCCTGTGATTTGGCGACAACGGCTTCCGGAGTTCCACTGGCACGGGATGTCCCTTCACACATTCAGAAGCGCACTGTCGTGTGGAAACTTGTGAAAGACAACTTTCTGGCTGGTCAACCGGAAGTTCGAGCAGGCAGCAACACAACATCGTGAGCCTGTGGATCTGTCGCCAGGAATGTCCGCTAGGCACCGGAGATGCGGCCCGCGCTCGTATTGTAAACAAAACGCCGTTCTCCAACTACAACAGCGGCAAGAAAAAACACACTGCTCCTAGCTCCCAGCTCTCAGCTCCGAGAAGCGTGCAGGGCAGCGCAAACTAGCGCATCCTTGTAACGGTGACGTGGACACCGTTGAGCCAACACCGGGAGGAGAAACTGACGACGTTAGCGTTCTATTTTGCTCTGAGAAGTAAAGACAAACAAAACTTGAGAATCACGTAGACAGGACTCTGACGTACTGGCTCAATCTTGGCTGCTCCAAATCGGTGGTATTGACTACGCTGTTGATTGCGCCTCACGTCGAAGCTAGAGTTGGCAGATTTCGACAATATGGCTCATTTAAAAGTTTGCTGGCCAGTTTATTAAATATATAGAAAGAATTAGATAGTCATGTTTGGCATGTGCCCTTCTTATATGATACTGAAGAGGGTTGCATAGAGTTACCTATATCAAAAATGAAGCAGTTGCCCTTTAAGGCCGTGGAGCAGGGTGTGGCAAATACAGATTTTTTTCATACATCAGAATACATTCATAGAGACTTTGTACGTAGTTCAACTACTCTACTCATGTTACTGAAGTTCAACTGCTTTTCTGAGTAGTTCAGTAGCTTTCGATAAAAGTTTTATTTCGGTAATTAGTGGTTTCCTTGAATTACTTTTTTCGAGTAACTTCTACTCAAATTGCAAATTGCTTTCAAATGTTAGTGGTATGTGTGCTTATCAACAAACATTCCTGCACAAAAAGAGGTAAGATGTTGGATGATCAGATGATATTTGCAAAAGACAGAGAAACATGCAGTATAGGCAGGGGGAGGGGGTGTTTTCGAGCGTCCGAACCCCCCTAAGAGTTTCACGAGCCCTCCACGGCAAAAACATTGCACTAAGGCGCAGGGAGCGGACAGACACATCGCAAAGTTTGGCCGAGCAACTGCGGAATCAGCGCTGAAGACTGGCGTTTATTTGTGTCACGAAGCTCAAGGGGACTTGACGCATTTGAAGAAAGGGCTTGTCCTCGCTTTTTACCAACGTAGGACCTCTCGCTCACTACACACTGCATACTCATTTAAAGGGGCGAACAAAATGCAACACTCGCTCTGAACCTCATCTGGTACTTCCGTAGTAGGTGCTGTATTTAATGCATCGCGTGCTTAAGGGCAACTCAAATGTGACCTCTTTGCGTTGCTCTTTCTTTCAAAATTCCAAATACGCAAGTCTTCCAAGATTCGCAGATCGCTCGGGAAAGCTTGGCACTTCCCCCAACGTTATTTATTAAAAATAATGAACAGGCAGTGCTGAGAAGTACTTTAAGTAGATTTCAGCACTGCTGGGATGTACTTAAAGTAGTACTTGAAGTGCTACTTTGAAGTAGTAGTACTTCAAGTGCAGGCGTTAAGTAGTACTTAAAGTACTACTTCAAGTAGGTTTAGAAAACTTGTACTTTATTTGAAGTACATTCTCTCAGCATGCACTTGTGCTTCACTCAATAATTTTTTCAGGTACTTTCCGAGGAAAGTGCCATTCCCGAATTCAAAGTACATCCCCCAAATCTGAAAAGAAAAATGGCGAATCGTCCTGGTGAAAGCGTGCTATTGTCTTTCGAGGCGTCATCAGGTCATTTCCCTGAGTGAAGTTATGGCAGTTATAAGACCTATATATAAGTGCCTTTTAGGTGGACTGAGTTAAATAGTTAGTCAGCGAGAGTAAAACAACAACTCTCTGGAGACTTGACTTGAAGCAATGCATGCCAGTTAAAAACAAAAACAATGCATAGGGGATGAAAAGGGCATAAAATATTGTGTTAAAAAATACTTGAACTTAATTTCAGAATTACGTTATATTGATAATACTTTACTTCAATTACATTGTACCCGTTGTACTTACTACTTTACTTGAAGCACATAACCTTTAATTTACTTTGTACTTTACTTCAAGTACTTTTAGA